TCTCTCTCTCTCTCTCTCTCTCTCTCTCTCTCACACACACACACACACACACACACACACACACACACACACACACACCTAGTCCCTGACCTCTTTCCCCAGGACACAGGGACAGTGGACAATACAAGTGGAGAAATGAGCTCACACTTGCAGCATTGGCAACTCGGAGAATGGACTATGCAGAACACTTCTCATGTATTACATCATTATATAACTCAGGAACTAGGTTTGACGATCCCCACTATAGACATCAGAAAAGTGTGGGTGTGGAAATTTAGGAAACCTTCCCAAGTGTTCGTGGTTTCTGTCAGAAAGTAGGCTCTCATCAAGTACTAGTGTGGGTCCCATGCCCTCTGGAGAATCAAAAGAGCCACAGCTTTCTGGTTGGGTCTCGGGACTTCTGGAGAGTCAGAATGGCCACCGGCCACCACTTTATATCTGCACACATCAATACATGATAATGAATGGATGCATTCTGATTTAAGGGAGCTTCAAAGTGCTAAATGACCACCACCACCACCCCACCTCCACCTTCAGTTCCTCAGTGGGAGAGAAATCTTATCTCCCATTCAGAGAGAGCCTTACATATCCCGGATGGGGCAGGGTGGAAAGGGGAGAGGCTGGCCTGATCCTGAGCCTCAGAGGGGACTGGGCTCAGTCCCCCACAGGCTGTGGGGTAGGGATGCGGAAGCTCTGCTGATTGAGTTTGCCCTACCAGTCACATCTAGATGAAGAATGGCATGGGTCCCGGCGTCAGCCACCAAGGCCCTGGTGGGCTGCTGGAGGGAGGGTCACCTCTGCCTGGAATTCGCTGCTGCCAGGACAGTTTCATGTCTCTGGGAAGCAGAGTCCCAGTGCAACGTGACAGAAGGACAGGTCAGCAGAAAGTGATGGTCCCAAGGTCGTTCGGCAGCTGGAAATTAACCCAGCCTGACAGCTGCCCCACTTCAGAGCTTTTAGCTTCAGAAATGGGCCTCGCTCGTTCTCTCTCCACTCCTCCCGCCCCTTCTCTGCCTCCCGTCTCCCCCCTCCTCCTCTCCACCACCGCCCCCCCCTCACCGTGGTTTGTTTGTTTGATGTCCTTAGAGGAGAGTACACACACCTGTGGTATGAGCTGGAAGGGACGCTCACAAAGGGCCAGGTGTGCAGCTGGGGTGGTGGTGGTGGCAGTAGCTATGTTCAATGGAGACGTCTCCAACTGGGTACCTCAAGAAGTGGGCCTGGCTTCCAGACAACAGGGAGCGTGCCAGCCAATCCCACAGCCAGCTCCATCAGGACTCAGCGACCAGCCTGAGGTGTCATAGAAGGGCTCCCTCTGGCTCTGGGGCTGCAGCCTCTATAAGGGCTGAACACCCCAAAACAAATAACTGGCCCCCTGCTTTACACCTGCCCCTGCCTGAAGCCACAGATGTGAGTCAGCTGTGTGGGAACAGCCAACAGTGGGGAAGGGTGGGGGGACCCTGGACTTGCTTTAGACAGGCCCAGTGTGTGAACGGAAGCAGCCAAGGGCCATGCCCAGCACTTACTGCTGAAGCATAGGAGTACCTGAGGCTGGGGACTCCGTGAAAAACCTGGCATCTCCCTGAGGGAAGAGTTGGCATAGGGGCAACACTTGGCACCCCAGCAACCTGCTAAAAAGCCATCACTAGCATCCAAGAAAGTTCCAGAGAAATATAGAAGTCCCTCTGACTGACAGCTTTGGGCCACCTCCTTTCCATCACCGAGCCTCCTCTACCATCCCGGGAATTTGGAAACAAACGCGCACACGCTCATTCTATAAGCACTGGTCCCCTGGTCTCCGGTCCCTACCCTGAAACAATGATTTCAGCTGTCAAAAGCATGGAGACACAGACTCCCCGAATGTGATACCCATGTCAGCCCAGTCCCTTCTCTTCTCAGGATCACCCTGACACTGGCCTGCCCCATGGACCTGAAGAACTTCCCGATGGATGTACAGACATGTATCATGCAACTGGAAAGCTGTGAGTTCCTTGCCTGAATCCTTTTTTTTTTTTTTTTTTTTTTTTTTTTTTTTTTTTTAAGGAGCCAGGCTCCTATTTACCCATTGCCAGGCAGAAATTCCCTAATCCCTGGACCCCGGGAGAGTACTTTTATGACTCCAAGTGCCAAGTGGGGGGGTTTCCTTTGAGAATACAGATTAGAAATATAACTCCTCCTGCTCTGTCTCACTGGGACGCAGACTTTGTCATCATCTGCGTCCTCCCAGGAGGAAGCACTGTGCCAAGTCCCTTGTGAATGTACCCGCTAGGAATGAAGAGAAATGGTCTAGAGAAATCATGTCTGAGGATGCTCACTTCAGCACGGGAGGTAGACAACTGACCGCACAGGTCACTCTAACAAAGGGGAACCAGTGAAGTGTTTTGGAGGAAGCAGAAACAGGGCCAGGGGAAAGGCTCAGCCAGGCAAGTGCCTGCCACACAAGCATCAGAACCTGAGTTTGGATCCCCAGCCCCATGTAAAAACCCGGCATGGCCAGGAGTCCAGAGATAAGAAGATCTCTGAAACTCACTGGCCAGCCAACCCATCTGAATCAACAAGTCCCGTGTTTAATGAGAGACCTTGTCTCAAAAAATAGTGGTTGCTGGAGAGATGGCTCAGTGGTTAAGAGCTCATACTGCAGGGCTGGAGAGAGAGCTCAGCGCTTAAGAGCACGGGCTACTCTTCCGGAGGATCTGGATTCCCAGCACCTAAATGGCAGCTCACAGCTGTCTGTAACTCCAGTTTCTGGGGATCTGACACCCTCACATAGACATACATGCAGGCAAAACACCAACCCACATGAAATAAAAATAAGTAAAACATTTTTAAAAGAATACATATTGCTCTTGCAGAAGACCCAAATTCAGTTTCCAGCTCCCACACTGGTCAGCTCACAACCACCTGAAAATCAAGCTTCAGGAAAATTTGGCACCACTGGCCTCTGAGGCCATCTGCACATATGTGACATCACACACACACACACACACACACACACACACACACACACACACAAACACACAAAATTTTAAAATAACAATAAGATATTTCCTAAAAATAAATGACATGGAGAGCAATTGAGGAAGACACCTGACATCAGCTTCTGGCCTACACACACATAGTCACGTGACCACATGAACACATACACATGCTACACCACACACACAAGGTAGGAAATAGCTAAGCAGTATATGTCACAGGAGGCTGAAACAGAAGGATTGTAAGTTGGAAGACAGATCTAACTACATAGTGAGTTTGAGCCTAGCCTGGGCTACATGAGACCATGTCTCAAGAAAATAAAAAAAGGAGGTGGTCCTGGAGCAGAAATCTGATTGCCTTGATTAGGCCACCATTTTCCATGTACACTTCACGTCAAGATCACACATGGTAGATTCACTCCCCAGAGGAAAACCTGTGGGAACAAAGGGAGATGTTTTTGGGAGGTGGCATGTGCAAGAAGTGCAGGTGTCAATCACCCTTGGTCATGGGGTGAGGGGCGGAGCCCCAGGACAAACCTAGGTGGGAGGGCTGGGGAATAAATTTCTATAATTTACCAAGTTTCACCTCCTTTATGAGGTGGGTAGAGACGAGAAGGCAATGGAGTTCCCTGACCTCCACCACGGTCTGGGGCTCCACCCAGCCCCCAACCCTAAGGATAACGCGGAGACCTGCTGACCCATTCCTTCTTCCAATCCCTCCCAGTTGGATACACCATGAATGACCTCATCTTTGAGTGGCAGGAGCAGGGAGCTGTGCAGGTGGCGGATGGACTGACCCTGCCTCAGTTTATCCTGAAGGAGGAGAAGGACCTGAGATACTGCACCAAGCACTATAACACAGGTGGGTGCAAGTGGCCACCGTGCTCTCCGGGACCCCAGGTCGTTTCAGACACCGTGCAGCTGCAGAACTGCATGCTCCGTGTTTATTACCTGGTGGTTGACGGAATAGGTTTAGAACAATAACAACAACACAAAAAGTGCCACTGAGATGTCCTTTCTGTGAGTCCTGGGGATGTTCGCCTAAGCTTGGGCCACACCTAATTACCAGGGAAGCTAGTAAACACTCTTTATTCTGGGCAAGGGGTCCTACCGCTGAGGCAAGGAGGGGGAGTTGGTTGATGCAGGGTGGGCTCTGCCACACAGAAACTTTGTTTCTGATAGTGCAGAAGCAAAGTGCTTCCTTTGGACCCAAGCAAGAGGGAGCTGGGAGGCCATGGTTCTAACTGGTAACTAGTAACCATTAGAAATCAGCCCATTCTCTGTGAACCATGGTGGGTGAAGGGAGAACCCAAATGATGGTGAAAGTAATTAAAATGATGGTGATGGTGATGATGCTGATCCCAGTGATGGTGGCAATGAGGATAGTGATAATGACGTTGCAATAACAATGGTGACTGAGATGATAGTGGTGATGAAGTTAGTGGCGGTGATAATTATGATGGAGATAATGGTCATAGCGGTGGTGGCAAACGATGCTGCTGAACATTCACGACATGTGAGGACTGTCATGGTTCTTCATAAGCACATTTCAACCCCCCAAAAAACCGTAAGAGCTACTACGTAAGGGCTGGCAAGGGGACTCCTAGGGTAACGGTGCTTGCCGCCAAGCCTGACAATCATAGGTTGATCCTCAGGACCCAAATGGTGGAAGAATGAACTCACTCTCACAAGTTGTTCTCTGGCCTCCACACAAGGACCAGGGGATGACATGTCCACTTGTGCATGCACTCACACACCACAAATGAATAAGTACATGTCATTTTTAAAAAAGAGTAACCAAGCCAGGTGGTAGTGGTGGTGGTGGTGGTGCACGCCTTTAACCCAGCACCTGGGAGGCAGAGGCAGGTGGATCTCTGTGAGTTCAAGGCCAGCCTGGTCTACAGAGTGAGTTCCAGGACAGGCTCCAAAAGCTACACAGGGAAACCTTGTCGTGGGGGGGGGGGGGGAGTAACCATATGAAGTATGTTGTTTTGTTTTGTTTTTTTAATTTCTGTCATCCTTTAGTATTCCCAGGAGGTTGTCTCCAGGACCCCCTCAGACACCTAGATGCAAAGATGCCAAATATGCTCCAGTCCCCTTGGCAGAGTGGGGCAGTGTTTGTATGTGACATACACACACATCCTTCTGCATACATCATCTCAGGATGACTGAAAATACCTAACTCAGTGTAAATGCTGTGTGGACAGATGTTCACCTGTTGTCTGGGGTGTGAGGACAGGAACAAAGCCTGTATGCGTTCCGGAGAGATGAACTCCTGAACGTTTCTACTTGCACTTGGCTAAAGCCATGGGTATAGAACCCATGGATATGGAGGGTCAACTCTTACCTCATTTAACCTAGGTGAGGAGACTGAGGCACAGAACAAGTCAAGCCCTTGTTTATGAGCATAGATGGCCTGGGACTGGACCAGGACTCCAGTCAAGATGACCCTAATACCACTGCCACTCTCTAGCATGTTCCATGGCCCCTCTGCTGTCATTCCTTGCAGGTAAATTCACCTGCATTGAGGCCCGATTCCACCTGGAGCGGCAGATGGGCTACTACCTGATCCAGATGTACATCCCCAGTCTGCTCATTGTCATCCTGTCCTGGATCTCCTTCTGGATCAACATGGATGCTGCACCAGCTCGTGTGGGACTGGGCATCACCACTGTGCTCACCATGACCACACAGAGTTCTGGCTCCCGAGCCTCCCTACCCAAGGTGAGTAGCACCATTGAGGAGTACTGAACCCCAGAACAGAGAAGAATCCAGCATCCTTCATCCATGCCTAAGACATGGAGAACATATAGGGTGTGTCACCATGTATATACATACTGTGTGTGGCATTGTTTCCACAAGTTGCTGCCTGGACCACAGTTTCTAGGTTCTTGACATCTTATTCAAAGAATTGGGGAGTGAGGAAAGATGCATATAGTTTGCAAAATAGCAAGAAAACTTTATTCATGAGCAAATCAAGAGTATAAATCTGGTACCCTGCTAAAGGCAGCAGCAGCAGGCCACCAGAGCAAGAGAGGACTCAAGGGTATGGTTACTGTTTGCGACTTAATTTTATGGAGCCTGAAAGGAGGGACTGATGGCTAAAGGGTTTGATCTGAGTGGCTCTCTATTGTGATTGACAGATTTGAGTTATATACGCTTTATTGTGCATGCTCTTTCCCATGATGCATCTGATTTTAATCTTATGCACACCCAGTTATGCATAGGTATAAGCAGTAAATAAGGGTCAGGGTGTGGCAGCACATGTCTTTAATCCCAGCACTTGGCAAGCAGAGGCAAGTAGATCTCTGAGTTCAGGCCAGCCTGGTCTACACAATGAGTGCCCAACTAGACAGGACTACATAGTGAGCCCCTGTCTCAAAACAAAGAACAACAACAAAAGATGGTAAATGGAGAATTCTCCCTACAAGTTTGTTCAGAAGACACAGTATGCCTCACTGCTCATGCTTCCCAAACCAATTCAGACTGGAGCAGCCCCCTCCTTCCTGTATGCAGATACATCCAGGAGGATATTTGAATAGGAACTATCCACAAAAGGGAAGTTCTTCATGGCCATTATCCATTGTCCACAGTTGGATAATGCTGGGCATGCTATATGATGTAGGTGGGGGCCCTAGGTTGCTAGATGCATTGTTTGGAGAAGGGTGTGTGGAGTCCCAGGTTGCTAAGCTAGTCCGTGCTCGCTTGACTCAGCATTCTAGCTCATCAGTCCTCCCACCAGACTCAACAGATTCTGCTTAATTCACCTTAACACTAAACATAGTGTCCTGTTCCCTACACTGCTGTCCCTCCACATCCCCCTAGCGAGGAATAACAGTACCGCCATGCCCCTACTCCTGGACACCCTCCTGTGAAGTACCATGCTGTTGATTGCTGCTGCTTTATCCTGTTCTGCTTTTCCCTGATGCCAGGCCCAGCTTCTGCTACACTCACTCTAACTGTCCAAGGCACTTCCCACTCTGTCCACTAGCACCAGACACAGCATTGTATTCTGCTATTCATGCCACACCTGTGCTGGTGATACATAGTGTTTGCACTGTTTCCAGTCAGGACCACACATTACATCTGATGTAGCACAGGGACACTGAAAGAATATCCAAGATGTATTCCATGACCTTTACCTGCATTCACCAATTATTAGTACTTAGCCACATTTGTTTTATTTATATACAGAGATAGAAAGATACATAGATACATAAATAGACACATAGCATAGATAGATGTTACATGTAAATAAGATAGATATATTAAATGGCATATATGCAGACATAAATATACATACATACATACATACATACATACATACATACACTCCTAGCTAGCATTAACTGTCAACTTGATACAACCTAGAGTCTTCTAAGGGTGTTTCATCTGAGGGATTGCACAAATCATATTGGCCTGTGGGCATGCCTATGGATGGATTTCTTAACTTTTAATTGATGTAGAAAAGTTCAGCCCACTGTGGGCAGTACCATCCTGGTAGGTGGTCCTGAGCTATATAAGAATGCTAGCTGAGCACAAGTGAGTGGAGAGCAAGCCAGCAAGCATGATTCTTTCATGGTTTCTGCTTCAAGAACCTCTCTGAATTCCCACCCTGATTTCCTTCATTAATGAAATGTGAACTGAAAGTGTCAGCTACATAAATCCTTCCCTCCCCTAGTAGCTTTAGGTCAGAGCATTTGTCACAGCAACAATAAAGAAACAGCACAGATAGACAGAAGATAGATAGATAGATAGATAGATAGATAGATAGATAGATAGATAGATAGATAGATAGATAGCTGATAGACGATAGATAGATAGATAGATAGATAGATAGATAGATAGATAGATAGATAGATAGATGATAGTCGATAGATAGATAGATAGATAGATAGATAGATAGATAGATAGATAGATAGATAGATAGATGATAGATAGATGATAGATAGATAGACAGACAGATAGGTAGATAGATGATAGATAATAGAGAGAGATGATAGAAGATTGAGAGAGAAGTAGACAGAATATACATTAGATGGGTCAATAGATGATAGATGCATACATACATATATGATAGAGATAGGATAGAAAATAGATTAGATAGGTAAATAGATGATTGATAACTAGACAGACAGACAGACAGATAGATGATAAGTAGACAGTTGGAAGAAGTTATAAAAGATCAATGATATATAGATAGATGATAGGTTATTAATAGGTTGATAGATAATTGATAGATGATTAATAAATAGATGATAGGCATAGGGTAGATAATTGATCAATTATTCTACCTCTTTTTGTCTCTTCTGTGGCCTTGGTCACCATGTGTTGGTGGCTTTGGTGTTTCCTATGAGTCTCTGTGGCTCTGTTCTTCTTCCCTCATTCTGTCCCTCAGACTATGATCTCAGGGTTGCTGGTTCTGCACCACATTCTCTGGATCTTCCTTCTACCTCTTCAGATGCACTGTTGTCTCCTCCAGTGAAATTCTCATCTTCATTATTTACTTTCAACGTCAGAGTTTTCATTTGGTTCTCTTATCATTTTTATCTTTTTATTAATGTGTTCTGTTTAGTGAGAGAATATTCTCAAATTTTCCTTTAGTTTCTTCGTGTTGTTTTTGTTTTATTTGAGACAGAGTGCACTCTGTAACCCAAGCTGGCCTCGAACACATGGGTGATCCTCCACACTCAGCCTCTTTAGTTCTGGGAATACAAGCGTGTGCCACCATGCTCAGATTCTTATACTCCATTTCTTTCAATTGCTTGAATATATTTAAGACAACTAATTCAATGTCTTTGTCTACCCAGTGTGATAGTGGCACACATGTCCTTAGGATGCAGAGACAGGAGCATCAGGAGTTCTAAGTCATCCCCAACTACACAGCAAGTTCAAGGCCAGCTATATGATGTCCTGTCTTTAAAAATAGTAAAATAAAGGGACCAGAGAGATGGCCTAGAGATTAAAAGCACTCGCTGCTTTTATAGAGGACCTGAGTTCAATTCCCTGCTCCCATAACACAATCTCCTATGAATTCAACCCCAGAAGATCCAATGTCTCTAGCCTCTTGTGCACATACCTATACACAGACTTTATATATATATATTTATATTTATATATAATATATATATATTATATATATATATTTAGATATATATATAACTAAAAATAAAATAAAATAATTAAGTCTCTGTTAAGTCCGAGATCTGGTGTCCTCAGGTACCACCCCTTTGACCCACCTTGTTTTCCTGTAACTGGGTCATTTTTCTGGTGGAAGAGTTATTTTTTGTTTTGTTTTGTGTTGTTTGTTTGTTTGCACACCTTATAAATTGCTCATATTACATAATACAAAAGGGCAATTTTTGGAACTCAGGTTCTACCCCCTAAGGACTTGTTGTTGCTGTCTGTTCTTAGATCTGCCTGAACTGTTTCTGTGAACCCTGTATTCTCTGTTATGTCAACCATTGAAGTCTGGCTCACTCAGCCTAGTGGCCACACAAAAGCCACACAGATTTTTACGGAATGTCCAGATCCTATGCACATCCCCGTCTCTTCCTGAGAGAGTCTGTTAGAGTCAGTACCAGTCGGGCCCTTGACAGCGTGGCCTCAGCCTTTCCTTCCTGCTCAGGGCTCGGGGAGTCCTGGGTCACTCTCAGATTAGTCTGCTGTGGCATCTCATGACACAGCCCACTTTCCTGAACTTTTCATTTAACATTGCAAAGGCTTGAACCCAGGCCCTTGAGCTTGCCAGGCAGGTGCCCCACGACTGAGCTACGTCCGTCCCCAGTCCCCTCTTTAGTTTTTTGATTAACCTGTCGTTTTGCCTCAGTGCCTCTGATAGCAATTGCCACTAATTGTTTTCAACAAATGTCCCCCCGATTAAAAAGATACAAATGAAAACTGTTCCCACTGGGCCCACTCCAAAGCAGGTCAAATAAAGGCAGCCTGTGAGTAGGAGCTCTAAGTGAACAGCTAGGGAGGTCAGAGGAGGAGGGCAAGGCCCAGGGAACCGGTTTGAAGTGGCTCCTCTGCCCTCTCCAGTGGCTGCCTGGTGGTTGGTTATTACTGTGCTTTTCCGGCTGCTGATTTTCAAGGCTGCTGTGGTCTGGAGGGTTAGGATAGGAGCAGAGCAAGTTAGAGCTCCCGAAGCCCCAGGGGAAATGAATTCATGCCTACAGCCATTCTACAGCATCACTCTTTATTCCCCCAAAAGATGCAGATGATTGATATCCACCATGCAATGAACAAAAACAGTGCTGTGTATCCATACATAGGATATCATGAAGCCATAACAATAAACTGTTGGGGCTAGAGAGACAGCTCAGCGGTTAAGAGCACTTGCTCCTCTTGTTAATGACCGCCACTGGGTTCCCAGCACCCAGGTAGGGCAGTGCACAACCACCTGTAACTCCAGCTCTAGGGGGAACTGATGATATCTTCTGGACCCTGCGCACATGTGCGTCTACATGTACAAATGCACACACACACACACACACACACACACACACACATATAAAATCAATCTTTAAAAATAAATAAATGCAAATAAACTCCTGTTGTTGAATGCAACAGTAAGATAAACTGCAAAAGTGTTGTAAGTGGGAGAAACCAGTCATGGAAGGACACATGTTGTTAATATTATTTCATAAAGAAATTCTGGAATGTTCAGAACAGAAAAGCCACAGAAACATGTTGATCTTCAGGACTGGGGAAGTAGAGAAGTTTTGATACCAGTTTTCAACAATGCTATGAACTTGCTATTCTCTCCAAAATCCAGCTGCTTTTGTTGTTGTTGTTGTTGCTGTTGTTGTTGTTGTTGTTACTTTTTTCTTCATTTTGGGGCGTGATGGGGCACATATAAGCAACAGAGTCTATGTGGGGGTCAGAGAGCAACTTAGGGGAGTTGGTTCTTTACTTCCACCACATGGGTCCTAAGGTTTGAACTCAGGTCATCAGGCTGGTCAGCCAGTGCCCTTTCTCCCACTGAGCCATCTCTCAGCCATCAACTGCTTTTCTTGAATAAATTCTCTCAGGATTGCTATGAGTCTTTGGGAGTCAACAGAGTTCTAGGTCACATGACTGTAGCAATTTCTGCCAGTGCACTCCATGATTCTGTGAAGGGACGGTTTCCCGGGGAACTGACAGTGCTGTTGACCAACAGCCTGCTCTCGTGCTAATGTAATGGAAGTCCAGCATCCTCTCAGACTTACATGCTGTGCTCCACTCCACAAACGGAAGCGATGGAGGTGCACCATCCTCCTCTTATCCCTTCTCTCGTAAGCATCATCTCTTTTCCCTGACATTCTGCCCAGCTTGTTCAACATGCTTTTTCTAGCTTCCTCTGCTCCTTCCATCCAAATATCCCAGCTGAGGAGCAGTGGGAAGTGGAGAAAGTTACTGAAGATCAGTGATGTCCCATCCACACTCAATACAACAACCTCTCTGTCTCTGTCTCTGTCTCTGTCTCTGTCTCTCTTCTCTCTCTCTCTCTCTCTCTCTCTCTCTCTCTCTC